TTAGTTTAATGCAGGACACAAGTGAAAAGATTTGTCAGAAGCAAAATTCAGAAGGAAGAAGGCCATTTCCTTTGGTGTTTGGAACTAGACCAAGTAAACTAAATGTGTGAGGGAGAAGTTCAATGGACTGAATGGGGCTGGGGAGAAAATGAGTAAAAGCTGCATGAGTGCTCACGGCCATCAACACTGGGCAGCTGTGTTAGAAACCACATTTGCTCACTTGCAGAATGTAAGTTTTGAAGTCACCCAGAGCAGCTGTTCAGTGAAGCAGAAAGCAGGTTTTGTGACTTGGAAAGAAATAACAAGAAACAAACTTGTCACTGGATGGAGCACTGGTTACAAGGACAAAAGCCTCTAAAAGGGGGAACAGAAGTCACAGCAGCCGCTTGGATTAGCATCCATGCAAAGGAACTGAATCTCAAGCAGACAGGTACCTTTGAATGCTTTACTGTTAACCATAAACAAGTTTATACCCTCAGAAGATTGCAATCTCTCTTGCTATACAGGAAAGAAAAATTGTTTCTTTTAGAGGAACTTGGAGTTACTCAACAAAATTAATCTTCTGAAACAGGAAAACCCTGCCAGCACAGGTGGACCTATAATACTGCCTGTGCAGCTGGGGAGCATGAAAAATGGGATTTCCGTGATCTCGTCTCCCTCACCAAAGACAAAGTGCAAGCAGCATGTAGGTAACACGTGCAAGCTGCAAAAAGAAACAAAACCAGGCAAATGAAGAACTTGGAAGGACTACAGAAGTCACTTAGAGCATTCATGAGAAAGCTCACTACTCTATTAATTTCTTCGCCATCAAAATGTTACTTGCATTGGAAAGAACAGACGTTCCTTTTTACTACTCACTCATCTGCAGTGTTTTAATTGCAGGCACACGTGGAAAGAAAGGGACATATGCAGCTATTTTCATGGCTTCCCATTTCTGTGTTTCTAAATGGAAGCAAAATGACTGAGGGACACGTGGAGGTGACGTACTGCATTGCTGCTCATCGGGTATGCCCCGTGCTCTGCTCTGAGCTGCAAGTTCAGCTCAGGAGAAACTGTATTTGTCACGATGGTTTATTTCAAGCTCCACAAACCCATCTGCATTGAAAGAAGGGTAGAAGGTTGATTTCAGGGGAACTAAAAATAAAAATCTGCAAAGAAAAAAGTGAACCAAGTGATAGCAGCACAGCTTTGTTTAGACCAGGGAAAGTTCAGTAAGGCAGCGATAAGAGCTGTTCAGAGTGCAACACTGAAAGGTACGTTTCCATGAGAAGAGCAGCACTCCCACTATTAAACAAGCTGAGTATTTCTAACTGCATGAAGCGATGCTCTCACATCTCTTGCCCACACACCAGTAACTCAACCAAGGACTCATTTCCTTTAGCTACAGCTACACAGCCACCACACCCAGCCATTGAGGGAAAAGGTAGTTATTGTTAATGGAACAACACTGGCTACTGGTAAGGGTGCTAGAGGAGAGCAAAGTGGAAGAGAGGATGAGAGTTCTTAAGCAGCTGTAGAACATCAAACCCACAAAGCTGGGAGGCTTAGGGACAAGAGACTTTTTTCTTCTTCCTTTCCTACAATTACACGAGTAACTCCTGTTTGGACTATTAGAAGGCTAATTTATCTCACGTGAACCTTTCACTCAGTAGGTTTGTATTTGTATTATTATGCTGCTTTCTCATGAATTTGTGTTTTATTGCTTATTTTCACAAGCTGCTAAGCTCACAGGCCACTTCAGTAGTCAATATTGTTACACAGCAAACACCTGCTTGGAAACGACCTGGAAATGCATAATTGAGACAGTAAAAGGTAGAAGACTAACACAGCTTTGCATTTCAACAGGCACAAAAGTAATATATCGTTGCAACAACAAGAATAGAGCCCTTCAAAGCCTCAAAAGCAATTTAACACTCACATATATGTTGACAATATTATGTCAGAGCTGTGAGTAACCCCACAAAGGAAGCTGTAGGTAGATCAGAAGTGCAGGTTGGTCTGAAAAATACATATCCTTTTTGCCAGAATTAATTACATTCTCAGACTAGCCTCTGTGATTCAGGCTGCTACCTCAACACTGACAGTAAGCACATAGGAACACTGGCAAACAACCTTCCTCCTGGCCATATCGCTGAGGGAAGGCATTTAACTGAAGCAGAAGACCAAAATTACCCTGTGATTTCACAGACACATCCTAAGTCTTAAGACAGACTGGTAAGACAGAACTTGCTGTACAGTAATTCAGTGGTGTCATAATGTTTTCTGTGAGATGAAATGAAAGCCCTGCTTTTTGTTGCTGTGTTAAAGAGGAGGCAGACATTTTATTTTAGATAAAAAGTCATTCTGAACTCCTGACAAAGGGTTGGGTCAGTTCTGTAAAGAATTTTTGTCAGCTAGGGCTTCTATGTGAAAGATTAGTAATAACCAAAGCCATCTTGTACAAGCAGAAGTAATGCTTGTTGAATTTACCATCACCTGCAAGACTGGTTATGTTAATAGTCTCTCATATTACGCCAAGTACACTGAAAATAATAGTTCACAAACAACCCTCCCACTGAAGTTTCAGTGCCAATGTTGTTTTCAGTGATTAGAATAAATTAAAAATGCAACCCCAAATACTCAGGATTTAAAAACAACTTCCTTATATCTGAGACACTTCCATGAAAAAATAATAATTAACCTCTTTCTCACAGCACTAACCTGTCAGGGGTAATGGAACTCCTGGATGACAATGTCTCTGGGGAATTTCAGTCTCAACATTTCTTAATTAAAGTCCATTCTGTTCACAAAACGGAGAAGTGAATGCAATGTATGTTCCAGCACTGAGCTGTGCTGAGCCCTCACAAATGCTCAGGATTTACAAGGTGGGAACCAGGGTTGTGCGATGCCTTCAGAAATTAAAAATAAAGAAATAAGAGCTTAGCTGACGTGATATTTAGGGGTTATTCATTAGATCCTGAAGGCCATCTGTCTCCCTGGGCAAGCTCTTTCCTCCTCCTGTCTGAATTAGCTGCAAAACAATGGTCAATTGGTAACGTCTCAAGCCAGCAATAAGGAATGTCTGCAAGGACGCAGGATTGTGAGAGAGGATGAAGAGGAAGAGAAGGAAATTGCAATAAAGCAAAAGATGGAAGTGAGGAAGGTCAGAAGGTTGTTTATGCATTTACAACATCTCTAAAATAGAGTCACACCCTAGAGAGATGCAGGTGGCAAACAGATTTCATTAGAAAAACCACAATGGTTCAGAGCCAAGATCCATTTTTGCCAAGCATCCTGTTTCCAGCACTGCTCACACCCAGGTGTTGCAGAGGAAGGCTCCCAGCCACCCTGCTTGACTGTCTTATATGAGACCAGCATAGGACAGGCCTGAAAGGTTTTGCTAAAATCCGCTACCAAATTTAAGAAATACTGCCCAAAGCAGAAAATAAGGTCTTCTATTTGAAGCCTGCCAGACAAGGTCATAAAGTTCACAACCAGATCAGGAAATTTCTGATAATGACACTGAATCCAGCACACAGTGTGCCAACACAACTCCCAGGTCCTAAAAACACATATCTTCCTCAACAGCATGGAAAAGAAACCTGGGCACTCACTGCTCTGTTTGCCTTGAAACTGGGCACCTGATGTGCTGAAAGTATGGGAGTGAGTCGAGCATGACGGCAGCGGTATTGCCACACACAGCACGTGGGCTTCTGGAGCAGAGTGCCAGGATTTGTGCAGGCCCCTCTGCATGGGGAAGGAAGAACTGCATGAGGGTGACATGGCAGTCAAGGATGCTGTTGAGTCAAGAAATGAGTAAGAAGATCAACTGCACTTGTATCTCATGGCTCCATTAACTTTGGAACTTACTAGCTGCTGCTTGACGTTGCTCAAAAGAAAGTCAAGATGTTTTTCTCCTCAAAATGGTGGCATTAACAGAGCACATGCTTCACTGCAGCTGGGGCTTAGCATCCTTGGACCGGCCACTGGAGCCTCCCCTGTGCAGTGTGAGGTCAGCGGGGAGGTTGTGACACAGCTGGGACACACAGCCCAGGAAGGCCACTGAGACAAAGCTGCCAAACACAACTGCTCAAAGATATACACACACACTATAGGCATTGACAAAAATTACATGCTTTATTTTAAAGTTTTCTGGAAAGTGGTGTGGTGATCGGGTCTACTTCTCACCATTTCTGGGATCCCTAGAGATCACCAGTGCCAAGGAGGAAACCCCTTACACCAGGACACTGAACAACAGAAGCCAGACCCCAGGACTGCCAGACTCCTTCCATGCTTGGGAACTGCACACATGTAGCTATTCCTTCTCCATTTCTTCTCCTCTCTGGCATCCCTGCTCTGGTACCCACCCACCCTTACTGACAAAAGTCAATGAGCTCACAAGCTTCCACATGGTCTTGACATAAAATGTCAGCTCTTTGCATCGCATGTATGAAAACGTTTACAGGAACATCACATACAAACATTCAGTGTAGATTCTGACCCGAGGGCAATGCATAGCCCAGAGCACCTCAGCAGCTTTCTGAGCACTCTTGCAGGTCAATGTCTGCAAGAAGTAAACAAGGCCACGTATGCGCACACAGACATGGCTCTGCTCTTATCAGGCCCCTCCCGGCCCGCTCATGCCTTCAGCGGGTCACTGCCTGCCATAACCTCCAGCACAGCACGCGTGCCAGTAAAACACAATGGTCTGAAACTGAAAATACCTCTGGTCCAGCAAGGACCCAGCCAGCAGTCTGTCCCTCCGACACTCAGGGCAGCTCATACCATGAGAAACCGATTGCCTCAGTGCTCGATGGGAGTGGAACAACGCGGTGATTAATTACAGCAGGAGAAAACACCTTGCTACACGAGATAACACTCATGCTTTGTATTATTGAAAAAAAAAAGAGAGAGAGAGAGAGAGAGGTTACAGCTCAGGACAGAACGCGGGGAAAGCACCGAAGGGGAAAAAAAAAGCTGCAATGTTGTTTGACTGGTGAACTCCCACCAACACCGCGGAGATGCGAGCCTCGCCCGCTGCCGGCCCCGCCGGAACGCTGCCCCGCCGCTCCTCGGAAACAAATCAGCCTCCGCGGCCGCATCCCCTCGACGCTTCTGACTCCGAGCACCTCCCGAGGCGCAGCTCCCCAGGGACAGGAACCGTGAGGCCGCCCAGCCGGCGCCCTGGGGTAAGAGGGCAGTGCTTTGGTGGAGGTGCGGGGGGAGGGGGAGGAACGGGAGGCCCCGGGTAGTCCCGAGGTGGCGAGAGGGGACGGAGAAGCCCCGCGCAGCAGCCGCGGCGGAGGCGAGGCACGGCCGGCAGCCGCACGATGGGCACCGCCGGGCTTCGTAGGAAACGCCACCCGCCTGCAGCAGCCGCCGCAGCTCCGAGAAGAGACAGCGCTCTCAGGAGCCCGACTTTCCCGGGGGCAGCCCCAGCACCGCGGCCGTGAGTGCCGCCGACCCGCGCCCACCTCCTCCCGTTACCCCCCAAGTACAGCCGGGCCGGCACTCAGCTCAGCCCACGCGGGGAAGGACCGAGAAACGGAAAAGAAAGGATCGCAGCTCTCCTACCCGGCTCCGCTGACGGGGCCGCCGAGCTCCCGCGGTCCCGCACCGACAGCGCGTCCCCGCTGCAGGCTGCCCGGCGCCCAGCACGCCCCGCCTGGGGGCGGCCCGCCTCGGCCGCCTCCTCCCCTTCCTCCTCCCCTCCCCAGGGAAGCCCCGCCGCGGCAGAGGACGCCCGAGGACTTAGTCCCCGGCGCGGGCACTTCTCCGACCCGCCCTGTCCCAGAGGGTTTCACGGAGGTGCCCCGCTGCCGTTGCCGCCTCGGCAGCCCTCGGGCTCACCCTCGCACCCCCGGAACCGGTCCCAGCCGCCGCTCTCGGGTCCCGGAGGTGGATGAACGCGAGCTGACAGCCTCGCGTACGTTGTAGAACCCGCAGAAAGGTTTAATGACAACTTTCGGACATATAAGGCCGAAATAAAACCGCTAAGAATGTACTAACGGCGTTTTTAAAGCCTGGCATTGCTTTAAAGCTTGGTAAGGGTAACAGCTCGCAATGCGTAGCAGCCCGTCCCGCAGCTGCGCTGCTCTCACAGGAGCTGAGCAGGAGCTGCACGAGCAACAAAGCCTCGTCCCTGCTGGTGCCATCGGGCATCAACCCACACCGCGAGGAGGCGCGCCCTGCCCTTTGCTGCTCCCCCCATCGCCTCTGCCTTGGTGCTGTTCGAAGCTCCCTTTCTGCAGGACAGATGCGATGGATGAACTAACCCAGGCTGAAACAGAGCTTTTCACAGCTTTTCCTTTCCTTAACACCCGCGTTCTTAAGGGAAAAAGGCCATATCGCACTGGTTTCTTACAGCACTGAAGGGACAAGGATCATTTCTGGGTGTGGAAGCGGTGGTTCAGTAACCTCAACAGAGACACCCACCCAACAGCTATGTAACTCCAGAGAAGCTGCAGTGAAACACAGCAGCAGCTGAGGAGAAACAGCTCTGTTCCAGACTTTATGATGTACCCTGGGCCAGTCAGTCCCAGAGAAGTGCAGTCCCTTTGCATTGATATCCACATCTAAATTCACAGACTTTGAGAGGCAGCTCATCCTGACTGCCTTTTGGCAGCATTGCTGCAGCAGTTTTTATGGTATCTGTAGGTTAAGCTTGGTAAGAAGCTGCTTCCTTCTGACACCGGTATGAAGCAAAACGATTAACCTGCACCAAGGGAGCTCGTGTGCCACATCATGGCCAGAGAACGGCCAGCGCTGAAGGTACCGATGGCCCAACTCACTCAGCTTCTTTTTACCGTTGCTCTAAAGAAGTCCTGGAATGTCCCCTGGCCCAGCCGAGTGTTCCAGGCTGCAGGCAGCTGCCTGCCCTGCCCACCGCAGTTTCCTCTTGCCTCACCATCACTTGTCAGCGCAGTTAGCATTCTTCAGATCCTGACAGCCCTAGCCTCTCCCTCCTCACCTCTGCGCATCCTTTGTGTTCCCATCACTATTAGCGCTGCCTTTATTCTCTTTGCTCTTTTTTTCACTCTCATCAGACACCTCGAGGAGAGCAATTTTCCTGGAACACGGCTTAATGAAACAGGAGGTCTTGCTTCATTATCTGAGCAAGCAAAGGATCCAGGAGCCATTTACATACTTTCTGTTAAGAAGGGAGAATGTTCCTGTGAAGCCCACAAGATATTGCCTCGGTGCTGTTCCGCATTTCGAGCTTGTCCACACTTGCCCAATTGTAATTGTGTAACGCCATTAAACACAGTTACCATATTGTTATTGGCTGAAGGAAAGGCAGCTCTGGGCTCCTGAAGCCAGTCCTGGAGGAGATGCTGTCAATAGGTATTTCCAGTCGATTTCTGTAGATGTTGCAAGCAGATTAAGGGAGGATCTACAAGTTTATGAGTTTTATCCATTAAAGTCAAGTGCTATGGACACATCCTGATTTATTTTCATGCACACAAAGATCAAAGCCTCCTGCAAATATGTCAGCTGTTTCATGCTGACCCAGACGAGGCCCTAACGCAGAAGCTGAAAGACTGCAAAGCCAAGACCTAAAGCACAAGACTCCTCAAGTCCTACCGTAGCCATACCAAATCTCAGTCCTCACATGTGGAAATTGTTCTTAAATTGGGTTTTGAGCACATTCATATCCTAGCAAGATGCTGTTGGAAATGGTACAAGTTCCGTGCAGTTCTACATGCAATGCTTTATCAGCTGAACATTAAAGAGGTGTTTCTTCATCTGGCTATTTCTGACTTGAGTAGCACTGGAAAGAGAATATACAACTGCACTGAACATGGGCATGGGCAGCTGAGAAAGTGGGGAGCCATCCTCTGATACAGACACAGGACAGGGAGAAATAACAAATCAAAGAGAAAGAGGTGCAATCATAAAGCCCTTGGGCATGGGCAAGTTTGACAGAAGCACTTCTGGTGCTGGCACTGCTAGAGGGTGGGAGCTCACTTCCTGCCCGTGTGCAAGGGAAGGGCTGGCTGAAGGAAGCCCTAGAAGCTGGCCTCAATCTCCACTATCAGTTGCTCCAGCTGCTCTCACAGAGCAGAATCTGGGGTGTGAACCCCAAGGCTAAGTAGCTCAGCTGCCCACTCAGGGACCTTGGGAGTCAGGCAGCAGGGCTGACAGATGCACCAGAGGCATATGAACTCTTTGTCTCCTGCGCAGGTCGTAAGTGCTGAGGTAAGTAACATTTCATAGAACTAGGTACTGCACAAGCAAGTCATAAATAACCATCCCCGTACTACAGACCTTGCAGGCTGAGAGGAAGCCTTGCACTCACAGCCCCATCCATTAACAATGTTGACCTTGAAGCAGTCCTGACAGCAAGGCTGCAGAGGAACCAAGCAGCAGAACATCTGCATGTAGCTGCATTCAAGCAGAAAGGCAGCCCTCCGGCACGTCCGACCCAGGATTGCCGACTGCTGCACAGCCAAGAGCAGCACCTCTGGGAGGGCAGCTCGCATGGGGCCACTGAGTGCAGCCTCACCTCTTCTCGACCCCACAGCTCAGCCAATCAGCACCGTGAACTTGAAAACACTGCACTGGCACTAGCAAAGAGCCAGTTTACTCACCTGTGAGCTTCCCCCGTGCGGCACCTGGCTGGGCTGCTTCATCGTCAACAGTTTCTTGATGTAAAATGGTACTCATCCTGAGAGATGCTAACAAGGTGTTTTCTTCCTCCTACAAAAGAGGGAGGACAGCTGTGGGGTTTACTTTAACAGTCACCATCTGTAAAGTCACTGTAATGTCTGAAATATTTTTCTACTTGTTCATTATAAGGTCTACCAACTGCTACAGAATAGCAAGGGCTGTAATAGCAGCACTGCACATAAAGGATAGCTTTAATTACGTGCACAATATCTATGTCAATCTCAGATAGCATCTTCCTCATAAAAGGCGGGGTTGGATTGTTTGCTTCTTATCCTCACAGTCTGGAATTTGACTGCTTCTTATGATGTAATATTCATTTGGCTTGGCTTTAGTTAATTACTTAGAGTGGTAATTAAATTAACCTTACTTAAGTTTTTGTTTGTGTGTTTGTTTCTGTTTTTGTTTTACAGAGGGTTCTTCAGCAGTCCCAGCCTGTTCAGTTAAATCCCCAAGCACTGGAAAGTAAGCTCACTGTGACAGTGCTCCCAAGTAACTCAAGTCACTGAGAAGTGACGTGGCTTACCCAAGCTCTCAGCTATCTCTGTGGTTTGCTTTTAACTGTTCTGCTATCATAACTGTGCTAAGCAGTTATTAGACTCAGCACAGGTAAACAGATCAGGCCCTTGCTGAGTCAATGGCACAGTCAGGAGAATTCCAACATCCTGCCACAGACAACGATGCTTAAGGCACACTACAAAAGGAAATGAAAGTCTTCAACTTTTCTGCAGGAGCAACTTCCCCTGATGTGGTCTAGCCAACCAGTTTTGACTATGGCTTGGCTGAAAAAACAAATGTTACTTCCAGATGAACACAGCAGTCATGCAATAAAATCATTTGCATGATTATGACTATTCCAGAATACTGCACATATAAAATCCAATGTGATAGGTGCACTGGGAAGACAGAACCAGTCTCACAGACCACCAAGATGAGAGCTACCAACAGCTTTGGCTCAGTTCCTCACTATACATGCAGCATGAGACGGCCTTCATTTCTCATTTCTCCTCCATAAATTAATCAGCAAAGCATGAATCAAACTCTCCCTCATCACTTCAGGAAGAGGTTTCTTGCAGATGCTAACTTCCAGCCAAGCAACAAGGGAAACTTTCAGTGTGGGCCATGTGAACACATACCTGGCAATGAGTTACACAAGCATTTGCTGAGACAGCACTGGAATGTCAGCAAACAGGATCTTTGGGCCTAACCCCAGCTTTGGAGGCAGCGAGCAGCCTAAGTCATCACAAACATGATACCCAACCACACCAACATGCAGATTTGTTTTGAGCAAATGGTGAGCCTCCCTGCTTTAAAAGCCATGGTTTTATTCTCTGCTCTGCATGCAGCCCGCTTGCAAGCAGGTTATCTGCAAAACAGGTGAATGACCTTGGCCTCCTTAAAGGAAGGATAACTGGCTTTTAAGAGTACAGACGCCAGCAGAAGCAGTGGAGCATGTGAGTCTAGACATCATGGACTTCTGGGCATTGGTAAACACTAATACATTTCTCCCCCTGTACTGTTTTCTCTCATCATTCTGTGGGCAGAAGAGCTGCAAAATGGGTCAGAGCCACATACAGCACATGACACTTGTGAGCCCTGACCTTGTGGCCCATAAAGTGATAGTCAATTGTAACACACAGACCAACCCTGGAAGCAATACCACCAAACACATCACCCAGACCACAAAAGACTTCAGGATGAGGCCCAGTTATCTGTTTATTCTGTCTTTTTTTTTTTTTTTTTTTTTTAAGTTGGAAAAAGCAAACCAATGACAATTAAAGCTTTTGAATTCTCTGCCATGTACAGTCATTCCCTTTGACCCATGCACTGCATGTGCTTGTTGATGCCAATGCCCTGTAACCGAGAGCTGCTGCCGTCTGTCACACACAAGTCCTCATTATGTTGCATAACAAATTACCTTTGTTGCCTAAGAGAATGGCACAGTGCATTTTGTTGTTGCCTCACATAAACTCTAGTCCTGAGAATTCCACTCTGCACTGATGCATCGCTTCTGTCTGACAAGTGCTTTATTTCTGTTGTTAAGCAGCAAGCTTCATGATACGCGGGCAGCCACTGATCCTGAAAAACAAGTTTAGAGATACATAAATACAGCACTATTATGTCTGCAGAACAATCGGCCACGTGGATTCTGACTGCTGCCGTAACGCCGGGCTTAGAGGCCGCAGTTACATCCTGGGAGACAGCTCTGTGCACTCATGGCTGGCAGTCACCTGATGTTTTGGTTTGCAAGCAAAAAAACACTGTCCTAA